GTAGAACACGACAAATTCATCAAGAAACACGAAGACGAGGCCGAAGCCAGGGAACTAGAATCATTAGAATCGAATGAAGAAGACGACGACGACGATGAAGAATTCGATCTCGAAGAAGAGATGTTCGGAAACCACGACCGACGTAATGAGGGGATCAACCTTCTGGACGAAAGCATGGATGTGGTGCTGAGCGAACCTTCAGATCGTGTTTTGCGCGCTCTGGCTGCTCCCGAGGGTCACCCCAAGAAACTCTCTTTCGAGAAGGTGAAGCGAGGATTTAACAGGTTCTTGGGGAGTTTAAAAAGGCAAGGCAAGGGGGATTTATCGAGGCAAAAAAGCTGGGTTAGGTAAGGGAGATTTATCATTTCTAGGGAAGAATAGGGTAGAGGAGGATTTATCAGTTCTAGGGGAGAAAAAAACGGGAAGGCAAGAGTGATTTATCATTTCTAGGGGAGGTAAACTAAATAAAGCAGAGAAGGATTTATCAGTTCTAGGGGAGAAAAAAACATGGCGAGGCAAGGGTAATTTATGTTATAAGGGAGAGAACAACTACAGGATTTGGTAAAAAAAAAGATTTATCAATTCTAGGGGGAAATTAGGTAGGATAAGGTAAGTGGGGATCAATGAATTCTAGGGGGAAAATGTATCAGTTATTAGCAGGGTAAAAAGAGTGACATTTATGTACTCTACAAAGATTAAAGGGAATAATATAATTTATTGCAGGAGAAATTAATAGCAGTATTCATTATAATCAAGGGTAACACAAGACAGTCTGGTGCAAGCCGTGGGTTTCTAATTCTATAAAAGAAGGGTTATGTTTAATATTCCTAGGGAAGAAAAACGGAAATATCTATTCTGGGGGAGAAATGAGTGATTTTTCTTCTTCTCAGGGGAATAAAAGACACACCAACACACTCGCTTTTGACGAAGAATTAGAAGTATCAATTCTACTTGAAAACAGGAGATATGAATTCTTGTAAAGAATAAAAAGGAAGATCTATATTCGAGTTGAAAAAGTATCTGATACTTCCGGGAGAGAAAAAGAATTTTATTTTTCGGAGGGTGGAAAGCGAAACACTTGTTCGTGCTATTAAGAGACGGGGTATTTTTATTCTGCGGGGGAAAAGGAAGACCGCGTAATATATCTATTCTAGGGAAGTAAAAAGTCAACCTTTATCTGCTCTCAGGGAGTTGACGAAAGATATTTATTTATTTCCAAGATATAAGCAATGTTTATTTACTCAAACAAGAAAGGCAATAAAATGCAATATTTCACACAGTTTTACCAGTGAGTAGGATGTTAGATTATGTAGGTTTGATAAGTACAAAGTTAAATAATATTGTGTGTAGAACTTGATATATACTAAACCAAACTGATCTGTTGTAACTAGATACTTTTAGTACAATATACGTAAGTGAGACTGGTTAAAACGATTGTACAAAATATCTAAAATGTCTGTACAGTATCTAAACAAACTTTAAAGACATTTTAGTCTACAATATAGTGTCTGAGACATGGAACAGTTTTTTTTATTGATTTTTAATGGCTATATTTAACCAAAGTTATAAGCTGTATAACAAATATAACAAAACTACATCTGGATGATTTATATAAACGATTTTGATTAACATGAATTTTAACTTATCGTGGTGACAGGTGGTCTACAATTATGAAACGTAATTTTATTGAATATTGATGCCCAGAAATACGTTGGATTATATTTAATAATTATGTTCATGTACTGTAGATCTAACAACACGTATTCAACCCGTTGAGATCTGAATATATTAGACCAAAATTAAGCCATCATGTGTAAACAAACCTTACTTAATTTTTTTATGAACAAAATAAAACAAATTACATTAGTCTACCCAAACAAACCTAACTCCATGTCCTCAACCCACAGAGAATAAACCGATCTAAACTATTTCCTCCAACCAAAAGCTCACAAACCCAACGAGAAATTAAAACGCATTGAACCAAAATTATTTCTAAACCCACACGCCATTTTCCAGGTGAAGGAAGTGCATCGAGAGAGAATGGCGAGGCTAGCCGAAGAAAACGTGGACCGTTCTCCCCTCCACCAAGATTTTCAGGAAATGTTGGAAAGGGAACACGAGGCGGTTGAGGTATTTTTGTAAACTTTATTTTTATTATTCGTCCATTGTCATTATTTTTCTTATCAGTTGATTTATTATTATTATTATTATTATTATTATTATTATTATTATTATTATTATTATTATTATTATTATTATATTATGATTATTGTTATTATTATTATATTATTATTAATTATTATTATTATTATCATTATTATTATTATTAATTATTATTATATTATTATTATTATTATTATTATTATCATTTTATCAATTATCATTATCATTATCATCTTAAGGAAATGTTGGAGAGTGAACATGTGTAGAATGATTTTTGTTTTAAATTTTATTTATTTGCCCTCATATTATCCATTATTTATTATTATTAATTTGGGAAATTTCATCTTAAATTTCAGTATTCAATAATAATTTAGAAATTCTTAATAGGTATTTAATTGATTTATTTTTTATAACATCGGAGAATGATAAATTTTATTTTAGGGAAAGGGGATAATACTGGCAGGTAGACTTTAACTGGGGCAGGGTCTAATTGGTGTAGATATATTTTCTTATTTTATCTTTATTATCTTCTTTATTTATTTATTTCTGTCTGATTATATTATTTTCTTATGTTAAGGAAGTGCTGGAGAGGTGAGGGGAGATGTTACATGATAGATATATCTATTTTTCTTCTATTCATTCTATTGTATATTGTCATTATTTTCTGCTGTTTAAGTTCATACTTCATTATTATTTTTTATTTTAAGGAAATGTTGGCGAGGTTGTTGAGGTCAGTTGATGGTTGATGACAGGTTAATCATGGGGTAGGAATATTTATTTTATTTTAAATATTTTTTGGTCGCATTTATCATTATTTTCTTTATCATGTGTATTAATTTATTTTTCTATATCATTATTTTATTATTTTTTTATTATTATCATATATATTATTATTAATGTGTATTATTATTATTGTATTCATTATTATTTATTAATTATTATTATTATTATTATTATCATATTATATTATTATTATTATTATTATTATTTATTATTGTTATTGGTTATTATATTATTATAATTATTATTATTATTATTATTATATTATTTATTATTATTAATTAATATTATTGTTTAAATTTTAAGGAAATGTGGCAACGGGAACACGAGTTGTTGGGTAGTATAGTTGATGGCAGGTGTATTAGAGGGTAGAATTTTTTTTTTATCTCTTTGTCCATTGTCATTATTTTCTGATTTGTTTATTTATTATCTTTTAATTATTATATCATTACATTATCATTATCATTATGATAATCATTATTATTATCATATCAATCATAATCATTAATCATTATCATTATCATTATCATTATAATCATTATCATTATCATTATCATTATCATTATCATTATCATCTATCATTATCATTATCAGTATCATTTATCATGTACATTACGATTAATTACCATTACATACCATTACAAATTATCAATTGCACCATTACCATTACAATTACATCATTATCATTATCATTAATCATTATCATTATAATTATAATTATCATTATCATATCATTATCATTATCATTATTATTATTTATTATTATTATTATTATTATATTATTATTATTATTATTAATTATTATTATTATTTTATTTTATTTTATTTTAAGGAAATGTTGGAGTGTGAGGTCACTGGTTGAGCTCAGTGTAGGTTGATGGCAGCTGTATCATGGGTAGAATATTTATTGTTTTATCTATTTTATTTGTATATTTGTTGTTTGATTATTTATTTATATTGTGTTTGAATTATTATTTATTTTACTTTATCTATATATGTATTGTCTAATTATTTTTTGTTCTTTTGTGTTTATATGTTTATTATTATTTTTCATGTTTCTGTTTGACTTAATGGCAGATAAGTTATTGGTAGAATATGTTCATCTTTTATTTGTGTATTAATGTCTTTACGTTTTTGTTCTATTATCTGTATATTCAGTTGTCGTCTCTGTGCTAAGTGAAAAATCCGTTATGTATTATTCGTAGATTTTATTTATTTATTTGTCTATTCCTGCTCTCGTTTGTTTATTTTATTCTTATTTATCTTTGTAATGTTTTATTTTTTTCTTTATTCTTATCATACGAACATTATTGGTTATATATTGCCAGCATTTGCCCTCATTTTTAAAAATCATTTTATGAAAGTCAGCTTGAAATATTTCGTTCATATTTTCCTTATCTGCTTTTCTCTTTATGTATCTATCTCTTTTCTCTTTTTCCCGTTTTCATATATTTTTATCATTTGTTTTCCCTCGTTTCCAGTTTCTATTTCTTTTCTAATGATCTCCCTTTCTTCTTTACAATTCGTTTTATTTTTATATTTTCATTTTTATTTTACTTTACAATTCGTTTTATTTTTACATGTCCATTTGTTTTAGATATTTACATTTTTGTTTTATACATTTTTTCTTCTTCATTCATCATTCACTCTCAACCTTGCTTCACTCAGATTTATTTTATACTAATAATCCTTACGAAATATCTTTTTCTTTTTCAGGATGACGACAACGAAGGATTCCTGAACAAAGTCCTCAGAGTGATATGGTAGATCCAGCGGACGCGAAAATATGCTTGATAGATTTTCTGACTTAGTTTTCACTCAAAGAAATATAATGGACAGATAAAAAAACACATTCGTAAATATATGGGCTGAACAATACACCCGGATGATTTGGGATTTGTTTTCAGAATTCGATTTGTCAGTGTCAAAATTAAGGTTAGAATAAAATGGCGGGAAAATTTAAAAAATGTCATTTTCTTTTACCTGCTGACAGTGGTATATAGACTAACATATATCTATTAGTATATATATATCATATATTATATCATATCCATAGTTATATTCAATATATTATATATTATATTATATCTATATTTAGAGAAGAGAGAGAGAGAGAGAGAGAGAGAGAGAGAGAGAGAGAGAGAAGAGAGAGGAGAGAGAGAAAGAGAGAGAGAGAGAGAGAGAGAGAGAGAGGGGAGGGAGATTGGAGTGGGAGAGGAGATGGATTGGGAGAGAGAGAGAAAAGGAGGGAGAGACAGAACAGGAAGAAGACATGACAACACCAAGGAAAAGAGAGAGAGAGAGAGAGAGAGAGAGAGAGAGGAGAGAGAGAGAGAGGAGGAGAGGAGCAGAGAAGAGAGAGAGAGAGGAGGAGAAAGGGAGAAAGCCATCGTAGCTCCGCTGGCCTGATGGCTTGACGAATTTACAGGACTCCCGATAGGCCACGCCTTCTCGGTAGCCTCGTTTTCTGCCGATCTATACATGAACACTCCGTAGTAAGCGTCCCATAGAGGGCTCCTTCGCCTCAGAGGTGATCATCTGGGGTCATCCCCTCAGAGTCATCCCAGAGGTCATGCCTCAGGTCACCTCCCAAATGTTATCTTCTAGGTACATTCGAGTCTCCTTTAGGAACATATCAGGGTCTTTCCAAGGTCATCCTTAGGTCATTACTCAGGCCGCCTTCTTCTGACCTCGAAACCACTTCTACCACCCGTACCCACGAACAGGCCATGCATACTTCTGCAAATAAAAACGAAACCACTGATTGTACGTCGGGGTGGAAGTCCTCATAACTTTCTAAAGAAGGAGAAAGAGAGGAGAAAAGAAAAAAAAAGTATAAAAAAAAAAAGGAAAAAAGGGAGAGAGGAGAGAGAGAGAGGGAGGAGGAGAGAGAGGAGAGAGAGAGAGAGAGAGAGAGAGAAGAGAGAGAGAGAGCGAGAGAGAGAGAGAGAGAGAAGCGAGAGAGAAGAGAGAGGGAGAGAGAGAGAGGAGAGGAGAGAGAGAGAGAGAGAGAGAGAGAGAGAGGATGAGAGAGAGAGGAGAGAGAGGAGAGAGGAGAGAGGAGAGAGAGAGAGAGAGAAGAGAGAGAGAGAGAGAGAGAGAGAGAGAGAGAGAGAGAGAGAGAGAGAGAGAGAGAGAGAGAGAGGAAGAGAGAGAGAGAGAAGAGAGAGAGAAGAGGACAGACAGAGAGGAAAGAAAGAGAGAAAAGAAAAGAGAAAATGACAGAAATAAAAAGTAAAAAAAAAAAAAAAAAAGAAAAAACGCAGCCACACAGGCAACGTAAGGGTCTGTCCTCCAATAAGCAGCGGCCGGGGCTTCACAGCGCGACGCCAACAGAGCCGGAACCTTCTTTTAATATCGAGGAAAAGAAGCGACCACCCGTAAGGTGCTGAGGGTCTTAATTTGGAATGGCCGATGGTTATTACAAACGTTTATTAAATATATATAAAAACACACACATCTGACACAACACACTTACGCAAACACGCACTCTCTTCATACACACAAAAACATAATATGTAACCAAAGCACACAGACATATCAACACACAGAAACAGACACAACACACACACACACACACACACACACACACACACACACACACAGTATATAACTATATATATATATATGATATATATATATAATATATATATTATAATATTTATATATTACGTATGTATAATATATGTTGTATATATATGGTATGTAATACACACATATTAATATGTGCACCCATACACATACACACCTTCTCCCTCCTCCCCTCCCTCCCATCCAATACTCGACAGTTGGTCAGCACCTTATTCTAAACCCCCTAAATAGTTTACACATTTTCCAGCACAAACCCACTCCCTCCCTCGCTTCTCTCGAATCCGAACCCATTTCCTTGAACATAAACCGCATGACCTCAGCACACGCGCCACCCTGCGAACGGCCTTATGTCACCCTCATCATAGCCCTGTCTGGCCTTGTCAACACGCTCTCGCGCATCTGTAACAACGCCGTAGCCTCGAGTGTCGGGGATGCGATAACTAGGGGAGGGGGAGGGGCGAGGGGGCGGGGCGAGGGGCGGGGCGAGGGGGGCGGGGGAGGAGGAGGGGTGAGGGGAGGGGGCGGGGCGAGGGGCGAGGGGTGGGGGCGAGGGGGTAGGGGGGGGCGTGGGGGAGGGTAGGGGGCGCGTGGGGGGGTGGCGAGGAGGGAGGGCGAGGGGGAGGGGCTCTTGTTTATTATCATAGGCGATTTTGGAACTATGGTGATGAAGTGATGTGGTGTTGGGGCTGTTTTTTTGAAATGGGTTGCAGTTACGGGTGGGGAGAATGTGGTGGAGAGGGAGAGGGAGAGGAGAGGAGAGGGAGGAGAGGGAGGAGATAGAGACATAGATATACATACATACATATATTATACCTATACATTAACACACAACACACACACATACATACAACGCATACACACACACAACACAGTCTATTTATAATACTATGAATATATATATATATATATAATATAATATATATATATATATATATATATATATATATATAGAGTAGAAGAGAGCAGAGAGAGAGAGAGAGAGAGAGAGAGAGAGAGAGAATGACAGGACAGATACACGATGACACACAGAGACTGAGAGAGAGAGAGATACACCACTACAACACCCGAGGGGAACACACACACGCACACACACACACACACACACACACACACACACACACACAGACATATATATATATATATATATATATTATTTATATAATATATATATAATATATATAGTATTATAACTATATCTATATACTATATATATATCTATATATATATATATATATATATATATATCTATAATACATACTCACACACCCGAGTTATATATAAACAGTAATTATAACCTATAATCTTAAAGCTGGAGCTGAGCCACTAGTTTCGCCAGTACCGAACAAAACGAAAAAAAAGAATAAAGCCGATGTCCACATACTTATCAAGAGGCATATAAATGTCAAAAAGTCACGGCACAGTCTATCTCCCTAGTGTAAACGACAGGACTTTATCTGAAGGACGGCAGGTTGTTGCCATGGCGCGGTCTGGACCCTAACTGTTGGTGTTTTTGTAGTAGCATAATCGTCCTCTGGATTCTAGTTTTGCAAGATATTTCAGTGATAATGTGAGCATTCTGACTTCAGGGTAATTTGAGTATAAGAAGCCATGTTATTGTCTGGACAGGATAAAATACGTACTGTTGTCCAAAGTTATTCAAAACATCAAGAAACCATATTCTTGATTTAAATCAACTTATCTCGGCATAACGATGTTTATTTAAAAGAAGCGAGTGAGAGAGGGGATCAGTCAGCCACTCATTTGGCCCACGCGAAAGTGGCAAAGGAACTCAAACAATTAACAGAAGGTAATTAAAAGTCGCTTAGCACATTTTTGTTCCCGCCAAGAAGGTGACTCAAGGAACGTAATCGGACGTTCAAGAAGACGAAGCCTGGGCCAGACTTGGAGCAGCCGTGTTGTGTTTGATATTTTTTTTACGTATTCTCTCGCCAGAAATTGAGTTCAGTGTTGGCGACTTCTATCTATAAAATGGGATTTTATCAATAAAAATGCGACGGTAATAAATGCATTCTTGTCAGTTCGGAAGTTTTGCGTATTACACAGAGAATCGATACTTTTTACATGCCCAGGAGTGTTGAATCAAGGCCCATACAATAACTCTCGCTACTGTCTTGATGAGACAAATGACTGAATCATATAAGCAGGAGAAACAAAGGTTGACATTAAAATCATCTGAAATAAAAGAAAATGGAGTAATAAAAACGTAAAAGAAAAGCTCACAATAAAAAATTGAAGGGGAAATTAACGTATATTCAACAAATAATGATTAAAAACACAAAGATTTCAGTAGACCTGCACTGAGCTGTGGGAACGTTGAAGACATGTTTTCGAGAAGAGAAACTCATCACGGACTGCGCAGCGACGATGAGCAATCTTCTTCAAGGCATCAAAGGAACACCACTTAAGGACGACCCTGGTACTCCGTCCACTAACCAGCCACTCGGGAGAATAAGAGTATTTCTCAGGTTCTCTTAATAAAGCCGAGGACCTTGTTTTTGATTGGTGGGACTATTTCAAATTGGTTCTCCCGTTTCATAGCATAACGGATAAAGTTTATACTTCGAGACCGGTAAAAGATATGTCTTCGATGTGGAGATATTAATTTTCACTCATACTTTTATCTATTTTTTAGGATCTACCCAGCTATCTCCTGGGAATGGCAGCTCCCAGATAGCCCCTGACCTCAACTTCTTATTTTTTAAAGTTCTAGCTTTGAACTGATAGGAATATCGTACCACTAGTTCCATCACATTTTTTCTTCATATTTTTACATTTCCTTTAGATTAGGCCACAATATATATATTTTTTTCTTGAATCGTGGACCCGCCGATATATTTTTCCTAGAAAATGAAAAAAGTGAATATACCGGTTTTTTTTTTTTCAAATTTCCCGCCGATATTGCGACGTCCGCGAAAGAAATAGCAAAAAATGAATACAAATCAATTTGTCTATGATTTATTGTTTATGGTAACGTTTCTCCACTCCCTAAAACAAAAATAAAATATATTTGGCGGAAATACCTTACTCTCATGCGTCATGTCATGTCATATTGTCAGTCGTGAATATTCTTTATTTTGATTTCCAAAGTAATGAATTCTGGTTGAAAGAATTCTTTGTTTTCACTCAACTCCTCGAAGACTTCTAGTAAGAATTGCACTTCCTCCAGGTGGGGCTGGAACTCGTACATTCCTTTGCTTCTGATCCTTGGAAGGTAGGAGGTACGCTAGTCTGATTTTGGTGCTGGGGATTTATTTATTTATTCATTTTTTGCCCCCACCGACATTTCATTATCACCAGACTTGCAATCTATTAAAAAAAAAAAAAAAAAAATTGCCGTGGCCTTTCCCGCGTAAGA